TCATCGTCCGAGACACTAGACGGCGGCCATGGGCATGACTTGGCCAATTTATGAGTCCAACTGCTTTATGGCCATGGCGAAGCACCAAAATTAACGCATTATAAATAATAATTTTTATGATTTGCAAAATAGATGCAATTTATTGCCGCCAACTACAGACACCCAGACACCCAACAGGCCAGCACCACAACAGATGTCCACCCGACAAATGTTTCAAATTTCAATGAAAATTCCAATTCTGCATTTGTTAAATATTAAAAAAGAATTTATTGACATTACGTAGATGTTTATGTGACGGTATTTAATTTATAAAATGTAGAATTTCTTTTGAAACTGGTATAAATGAAAACTAAATTGAATATTAAATGTTTATTGTAGATGTTAAAAGCTTTGTGTAATAGGTAGTGCAACTATTTGAAATGCTGACGACTAATTTATGTGTTTTCGATACTTAAAATTAGTCACAAGTTTCACACTCAAAACAGGCAACAAATAAACAATCGACAGAGATGCATTTGTGTATCTAAATTTTTTTTGGATACGGACAAGCGATTTGTGGCATGCATGTGCGAGTATTCGCTGCATTTGTTTGTCGATATTTGAATTATTTCCATCGCCACTTGTGACGGGGGGGCAGCATTTCAGCCGGCCACTTTTGGCCACAATTGTGGCCAGAGTTCCAGCATCCATTCCATACTCGATCGAAACCAATTGTCCGCCTGCGTACGCTGAGTGCCTAATGTGCTGTCGATGGGTTTACAATCCGTCAAAACAGTTGCCACGACGAGTGCATCATCATTGGCACTTGAGTCCTATTAGGGGAGCTCCACAAATAAACAGTTCTAGCCCAGCGAACACTAGCATCGAGTTCTACTTAGTTGGAATTTAGATAATTACCCTGTGATGGATGTACTTGGAGTGTGTTGGAATGGACTACATACACATATATTTAGTTTATTATTTTAGCATGATGTGATACATTTTTTTTTAAAAGAAAAGCGATCTTTGATAGTTTAGCGTATATCCAATAAATGTTGCTTGAAATATGACTAATAAATTAAGTTAAACTTTAAAGATTATCATAAAAATGTAAATGGATTTTTAAAAATGTTTATAATTTTTACTGACTAGCATTTTTTCAGCAGCTGGTTTTAGTTTATACATTTTTGGAGGAACACTTGAATACCGATCAATGCTCTTAAATACTATTTGCAAATTCAGTCATGCGTAATTTTGTACAACAATAGAAGTAAAGAAATCAGGAAAAATGCACAAGACTGCAGTTGGAGAATATAACTGAATGTTAACTGGAATTTGGTGAGCGAGTAACTCCTTATTTATCTATGCATCTCGTTAGGGGTATTGTAATCAACTTTCTTAGAGCCGAGATAACAATGGTCGCATGCAATTGCCGAATTTTCTTTTCTTTTGTCGCTGGCAACCGATCCATTAAAAGTGAACCATCATAAAGTCAGCGAGCAACTGGTTAAAGGAGCAGTGAGTGGCCAGCGGCAACAACAATGGACAATGAGCACATAAATCAGTGTAATTAATAGAAAACTAGCCAAAAGGCAAAAATCCAAAGCCAAAAAATATATAAAAAAATCCACGCATGCGCAACAGCAACCACAACAGGTTTTTGGCCACGTGCAACGTACTCGGAATCCCACTGACCAAATGTGAGCACGGACAGATCCATATTGGGCTCGTTGCAATGGAATGCCAGCAGTCTGCCAAATCTAGCGCCTAATTACAATTGAATGCGGCAATCAGCGAGATGAGATGGGATGAGATGAGATGAGTTGAGTACGACTATTAGAAAATAACTAAAAGTATTTATCAATATATGTACATATATGCCCTGTAGGAGCTGCTGCTGCCCACACAAACTCGCATCCACTCACAATCAGATTTTGTTTCTTTTTTGTTGTTGTTGGGAATGTAAACATTGGTTTTGTTTTTCTTGCCCATTGGCGGCAATTTATCTCACAGTTTGATGCAAACGCATAAATCTCTCAACGCGCGGCCCAATGCGATATTTCAATTTCAAATTAAAATAAATATTTAAGCGCTTCGCTTTTGTAGCTCGTAAGCAAATTAAATTTATTATCAATAAAGTAAATTTATCAGACAAACACACACACACACGAACTCAGTTTTTAAAAAGTGGTCTGGCTGATGGAAAGTGTGCTTCGAAACTGTACAACATCCATCAGCGTGCAAATCTCAGCCGCAAAACCCCTGCAAGTCTCCAAGGAACTAATTCATTCATTTGGCCCCCGCCAAATCACTGGCCATTCATTTACCAAATGTCCAGCAAGCGGACAAATGGCCCACAAAAATCCTTAAAAAGTGCAAAGGCTGAGCAACACTTTTCATACCCTTCAACGGTGTCCCACAAAAAAGAGTCAGCTGCAATAAGTCAGGCAACACTGGACCAACTCTGATGCTTAGCTATCACTCGCTGTGCCCTTCAAATTACCAACTGATTACACTCGTGGGACAAAATTCCTGTTGCTGTTGCTCCCTCAACTCTTGTACCACGGCGGGTACTGCTATCGTCTACAGTCATCTGTTTTGGCTGACAACAACAGCGCCAGAATTGATGTGGTCTGTGACTATCTAATAGCTCAACCGGTGCTCGAGATAAACAAATATGGTTCGGCATGTGTCACCAGTCCGCAGTCAACACTCGCCAGTGAATCAAAGTGTTAGTCCAAATAAATAAAACTGAAACTCTCACTATTTTAGTGTGGCATGTGGCTTACCGAAAAACCAACCACTCAATGTTAAATTCGTTTTCTATTGGGATTAATTTTGCTCATTTAATTGATGGATTTGACATACAAGTAGCATTCAGTTTTTAAATGCCTTATTTTTTCATTTACCTCATCGTTTATAATTCTTTAAATTTTTGGAACAACTAGAATTTAAAGCATTCACTTCACTAAATTTGGCATTTAAGATTGATCTATGAATAAATTTTAAATATATATAATCCTGTGCAAAATTTAATGAGATATGAAAGATTTTTGCATTCCTTATTTTGAAGTAGTATAAAAATGTGCAAATAAAATAGAGTGAAAAATGTGTTTTTAGTATTTATTCAAAAATATAAATTCTATTTAAATTTTAAATTGAAATTCGCGTAACATGTCTCAAAACTAATTAATATTCACTTTATTTGCGTAGCTTTTACACTTCTTAGTGTAAAATCACATCTAGTCACAAATAATCGTAAGAATGTATTAAAACAGGAATTTGGTTCCTGGTTGTAATCAGACAGAGCTGTATTTGCTGGTCAAATTGAAAGCGTTGGGCATAAATTTGAATTTGGCCACCGATCGTGTGACACAGGGAATGGGTGACAACCCTAAAACTTATTGACAACGGGCATAGCATAAATTATTGCGAAGGCAGCGCGTTAATCGCACATTTTACTCGCAACAATAACAACAACAGCAGCAGCAGCAGCAGAAGCAGAAGCAGCAGCAACCTGACAACAGACAGGGGGGAATGGGAGCTTAAACGATTGGCAAATCGGCGACTGCAGAGCAACGAGAACAACTCACAGCAACTACAGCAACAAAAATACCACCAACAACAACTTTGTTTTAAACGATAACAATCACGAATGCAGCAGCAGCAACAGCAGCAGCAGCAGCAGCAACAGCAGCAGCAGCAGCAGCAACAGCAACAGCAAAAATCGACTGAGAGCGAACCCAATGGCAAATGCCTGCTCCTGGATCTGTGGAGATCTGAACTGGAACTGGAGTCTTGGGGATAGTGAGTGTGAGAGTTGCAACAGGCCCGAACATAAGCAGCAACACAAATAATTCGCTTTAATGAGATCGCAATCTGGCGATTTGCGACAAAAACACACGCGGTTTGTGTCTCAGTGCGTGCGATCAGCCCAAACAGATGAAGATGAGCACAACTCTGCACTCCACACTCCATACTCCGCCAATACCCGTAACCACATTCCCCATGCCGATGCCGATGCCGATCCCGAGATGCCGATCTCAATCCCAATCATTGAGCTCAGCATCGACGATCGTTTAGCTCTTGTTTTGTTATTGCTGCTGCTGTTGCAGTCGTTGTGGTTGCTATTGCTGCTGTTGCTGTTGCGCTCATGTTGCTGTCAGCGTGCCTTGACTTGTTGCTGTTCGGGGCTGCCCCGTTGGCAGCCCCTAGCCGGCCCAGTCCAAGTTGCGCTTGTTGACATGCCCAGCTTGCTTAGGCAGACTACAGGCCAACACACAAGCGGCTCTCGACTCGGACTCGGACTCGAACTCGAACTCGAACTTGGACGTCAACGTGTCGTTGTCATTTCTCGCTGCCTGTTCCCTCTTGGCATCGGCATGCTCTCCCAATTGGCCCAGGGCAATATGACATCGATGAATCGAACAGCGCTCTGGAATTTTGTGTGTGATTTGATGCAGCAATACTGTTATAGATCTGTCTTTATGTGTGTTCACGCCCATATCGCATCACGTTTTAATCAATTCGCCATAGAAAGTTCTCGAAAAATGCTCGGCAATTAATTGCCACAATTAGTGCGACATGACGCGAACGGAATGATTAAAAGCCATACCACACACGGCCAGACAACTCTGTCAACAACGCCAAAAATGGGCGTTCGACCAACTTTCAGTTTGCCATTTATCACCAAAGGCCACATTTTTATTAGAGTAAATATGTATTTATATATGTATGTGTATGTATGTGTTTGACCAGACCATGTTGTGGAACTCTGTTAACTGTTGAAGAGCAGATTCAAGTCAAAACTAGATTACACAGATAAAGCTCGTGTCAAACATTTTGAGAATATACACATATTTCTTACTCACTTAACGTTGAACTCTTCAATTTCTCGGACATAATATATTTATCTCCATTGTTTCTTTTCTCGTCCTACTTAATACACCTTACTTTTATTATTTACTTCACATTGTAAATAAAATAATTATAGCTAGGGCTGTTGAGCAACTATCGATAAAATTCAACCAGTGCTGTACAATCCTGTAAAATATTAGTCAAACTTTCTACTGTGAAAGCTGAAGGGAAAGCGAAACACGAGAAATAAACTTGGTGAATATAATTTTTGCATAATAAAATCATTAACACTCATATCACACTCATTTCCTTCAGAGCAGAATGCTGGCTGTAGGTATTTTGGCACAGATTGTGCGTAAAACCAAGCTGGGTCCGCAGATAAACTGCATGTGGATGCGACAGCAGAAGACTATGCACGATGTGGACAAGCATGGTGTGCCGTCCAGGAAGGGTTACTCCCCATTTGGCAGGAACCAGCTGGGCTGGGGTGAGTGGACGGTGACTCGCTTAGATGATTTGCTCAATTGGGGACGCAAGGGCTCCATTTGGCCAATGACCTTTGGCCTGGCCTGTTGCGCCGTGGAAATGATGCACATTGCTGCCCCACGCTACGATATGGATCGCTTTGGTGTCGTCTTCCGTGCATCGCCACGGCAAACGGATCTCATGATTGTCGCCGGCACACTGACCAACAAAATGGCACCAGCTCTTCGCAAGGTCTATGACCAAATGCCCGAACCACGTTGGGTCATCTCAATGGGCAGCTGTGCCAACGGCGGTGGCTACTACCACTACTCGTACTCGGTGGTGCGCGGCTGCGATCGCATCGTACCCGTTGACATCTACGTGCCCGGCTGCCCACCCACAGCTGAGGCACTTATGTATGGCATATTGCAGCTGCAGAAGAAAATCAAACGTATGAGGACCCTGCAGATGTGGTACAGGAAATAGGCAACGAACAAACGGTTTATTGCTGATATGTAGTTAATATAATTTCATGTTTGTTCTTCCAGAAATCTACCCTATCGGGTGGATGCTACAATAAATAATATATAGCACTAACCATTCTTCATAAGAATGCTTGGCAAATGTAAATTTTCAAATTTATTTTATATATATGAAATTTATTTGAAATCACTAAATTTAAAAGAATTCGCAATTCTTCATATTGTAGAAAACTCTGTAAGTGGGGGAGCTCAATAATTTTTCCATGTGTATTGATCGGTCGAAGTCGAAGCTGGATAAGGATGAGACTTGTGTGTGCGGCAGTAAATCGAATGTTTAATCGATTGAATTTAATTAGAAAACAGCAACCATCAAATGTGGCATGCAGCTGTTGTTGGTGCAGCTCCCCATTTTGTCCGCCTGTCCGCAACTGTCCGCAATCGCATGATAGCCATTGCCGAGGGATTAAAGCTCAATACGATCGCAGTGCATGCGATTCGCGGGTGAGTTCGGAAGGTGGTGCTGACTGCAGCCTCCACCACTGGACCACAGTTGGTAGCGGATTGCAGTGTGTGTTGTGCAATGTTGCTGCCGTCTGTGCCTCAGCATGTGTGCCCAGCAGCCCGAGCAGCTCGGGGAGCCCAGCTACAGCTCCAGAATGCAGAATGTAGATGTGGTTGTGAATGTGTAAACTCGTACTTGCGCTGTCGTATCGGAGCAGTGCGATCGAAAATGGATTTGTATCAATATCGACTCACTAACATGATTCCAATAAATTAATATGCATACAAGGCAGGCACCAGGTCCAGCTTCAGCTTCAGCTTCAGCCCCAGCTCCAACTTCGACTTCGACTCTGACGACGCCTGTCGCCGTCTGGGGACCCTGGTCTGAGGTACGATCTCGATCGACATCGCAGAGAAGCAAGAGAAAAATAAATAAACACACGATGATGCATGTGCAGTGTCTCTGAGTTGTGATCGTGTTAATGTAAATAATTGCCAGCGCCCCATCGTTCCATACTCTAGACCCAATCCAATTCCAACTCCAATTCGAATCCCAGTCGACGACCATTGCAGATGTAATTAAAATCTCTCTCGGCTTCGTCTTCGTTTGTGGCTTCTCACTTTCTGTCGCGTCTTCTGTTTGGCCTGTCTGTCGTTTTGGCCGTGTGTTTCTCTTCTTGTTCGGCGGCCCAGAGAGATTCGTCTTGACTGATATGAGCCAAGCGACATACACGCAAACCCCGCTCCAACTCCAACTCCAACACCAAATCCAACCCCAACTCGAGCTCCAACAGCCACTCAGTGCCTAAGCGTTTGATGTTGACAGTTCACGAGTTTTCTTTGGCATTTGGCGATATTTCTTAGCGCTGTGGCAATTGTCAGACATTTGGTTACCGATACGATTTGGAATTGGGTTTGGCTTACGGACTCGGATTTAGATATAAGACCACTTGCCTTCTGCAACTGGCAATGGGAATCTGTTAACGAGTTGTCTAATTGGCATTGTTATTTGTCTTAACAGAATTGAAAGTTGACTTTAACATTTGCACAGCTTTTGACTTGTTGCAGAAAGTTACCTTTCAGATTCGATTTCAAATGCACAGATCTGAAATTCTTAAGGTCCATCTCTTTTGAACATCCCCATCATCCAGACCGTATTGGTTTTGAAAAGCAATTAATTTGTAATCTATATTTATACTGAATATCTATTTGGAAATACAATTTCCGATCAAAATTTCAGTAAGTTCTTTTAAAAAGGGAATTAAAAATGATGGTAAGTCTTCAACTTACTGCTAAGCTAGTATACCTTTATCGGTAAAGTAGGTGTCTATTTGGATGTGTAAGTGGTTCGCATGCTCCTAAAATACTCAACATCAGAAGTTTGCCAATCTGCCATCGACAGTGCGAAATGCTTCGCTTCAGATACAAAACACACGTGACTCTACCAATGGAGGAATGAGTGCGAGTGCGAGTGCGAGTACTCGTACAATAAGTTGCCTACTTGGTTACTCGAACGTATGCCGGGTCAAAAAACAAAAAAGAAAATAAGAAGCCGAAGCCCTTGCGAGAAGCACTCGACTGTCTGCGCTTATTTATGGCCAGAGATGCTAAAGATATAGCGCCAGACGACGACGACGACGAGGCATCAGAGGCTGAAGACGGAGAAACAGAGCCAGACGATTGGCAGACTTACTTAGCATGGCATAGTGTAGTATATATGGGATGAGAGATATCTGCAGCATCAGCTGACGGCGTTTCACAGAAACTGAAGCTTCACCTTTATATCGATGCATTGTTGATTAGTCTGTCCAGGACAACGACTGGGACTCTCTGTGTCAGATTCGAATACGGATTCCGATTCGGTTTTCGTATGGCATGCAAAATATTTGGGTTAGTTAAGTTGCAACAGTCACGCATTTAACGCAGCGACTCTCAGCGTTCGCCTCTCTGGCAGTGAGTTGTCAATCAGGCAGCGGAGACGAGGCTCCACTGTGGTGTCAATTTGAGTATTTTTGTGCGTGCGCAAAATAACGCAATGTCATTATTTGTGGGAACCAATCCAGAAATTTGTATATCACGCTCAGTTCCAGGCGCGCGCAAAAATATCGAAAATCATTACTTCAAACAAGCGGCGCGCCGCGTCAAGCAATCAATCAATCAAAGCAACAAATCAAACACATATCCAAGACCATCTGACCGACTTGAGCCAAGCTCTGAAAACCAGTTCAGATTCTAATTCAATGGCGCACATACGAAATCATTTGACAGATCATCGACAATCGATCCAAAACCAAACCCGATCCCAATTCAATTCCATCCATCTGTGTGCTGGTTGTATTTGTGTTTGTGCACTTGAGCTGTTGCCTTTACTTTACTATATAACGTTCATTGGTTTCTTTTCTTTCCATCTTGTGATTCAAGTGCACAAATAGTCGAGAGTACACAAATAAAGGTTAATGAGCTTTTTCTTAGCGGTTTCGGTTTGTTTTTTCTGTTACTTTTTCATTTGTATTTATTCATTTTTTTCTATCAACAATTTATTTTTTTTTCTCCAAAATTAATTTAAATGAGGTGTTTTTGTTAAATACTTTTGTGCTCGGCTTGGAGCTGTTCATATACTTAAATGTTTTTGTACGCTCTGCCATCATCTTCTCTAATTTTCTTCAAATAAAACTCAAAAAATTTAAAAATTATTATCAGTTGTCATCTTATTTATCTGAGAGTTGGAAAGAAATCAATATATAATATTTATTATGATATCTTAAATATGTATATAGAAAATTGGTTGAGTTTAAATAGAAATAGAACTTAGGTAACATATTACTCAATTCAATTATGTAGAGCTAGCTGTGAAAGATTAAAATTTGTATAAAAAAAAGCATCTATCCAAAGCCAAATTTTCATCTGATATTTTTGTCAAACAGTTGATCTTTTCGCTTAAAATAATGTCAATGAGATGCAGTCCAATATTTGTTCGCAAATCATGTTTGCAACAACTTCCGATTGTCTGTTAATTATGTATGGCAATTGAACTTATTGTCAGCTTAAATGAATCTGAAGTGGGTCTTACCTTAGAACTACTAATTCCCCATAAACTTGTCAATAAGTGCAATTATAATCAGTCTAAATAAATATGTATAAACCTTTAGATAGTTGTAAATGCTCATCGCACTCAACTACGCACTCACAATATTTGCTTTCTTCTACAAATTCCTCCTCATCTTCCTTCCACCTGGAGCATTTAGTTGGTGCAGCGTTCTACGTTCTTCTTCTCCGGTTTAATGTTTGTGTTCTGCAATTAAATTCGTATTCTCTTACAATTGAGGCGCTCAAGTGGAACTTCCACGAATAGCATGGATATGGATACGCTGACAAGCAGATTGAGATGCAGCTGCAATCATTGCAGGCAACACCACGAGAGAACCTCTCTGCTTCTATGGTTGTTGTTGTTGTTGCTGTTGCCGTTGCTGTTATTATAGGCTAGGGCCCAAGTAAATACTTGTGACTCTCTCGCCTCATCCCGTTGCGTGCGTGTGTGTGTATTTGTGTGTTTATGTTGTTGTTGGCTTTTGGCTGCTTTATCAATGGGGCAGGCGGCGTCTGAAGCACTGCGTCCATATCAAAATAATCAAAATTTTGATTGAGTGCAGTTAGTGCGTCTGTGTTTACACGATGACGACGAAGAAGATCGATTCATTGCTGTGTGGCTGTGAGCATTTGCCCCAACAGCGATGATGTCTAAGGGGTTTTCTGTCCAATCACGTTGTTGATATTGATAATGACATTGATGGCATCGAGTTCGCCTGAGTGACTATGTGACTTCGCTACAAGATCTTTGAGTGCGAATGCAGTCGTCTTCCTCGTCGTCGTCGTCGACGTTGAATCGATTGTTTGCGCGGATTTTTGATTTCGATTTCCAGGTTGAGCTGGAGTCTGAGGCTGGGGCCTGTCAATCGGTGAAATCCGGCACAATTCGATGGAATTGGTATTGGTATTCGAATTGGTTTTGGTGTTGGTATTGAAAACGCAGTCAGGTTGCCGCTTCAAGTTGAATGATGATATTGACATTATCGAGAGACACTCTAAATTGTACTACACTAAAGCGTTTCATGTAAATGATAATGCGACCATACTCGACTCGATACTTGCACTCGTACACATTGTAATTGTTTTTTCTTCTTCTTCTTCTTCGTCTTCTATCGAGCAAGAGCAACAACACTGCTGTGGGTATCTTTGAGATACTTACATAGTTTGTTATTGTGCTCTCACACTCATCGTCATAATCATCGTCGTCATCATCAGCTCGGCCTGTTCTCAATTGGTTTGATTGATTCGCTGCACTTGACAGATAAGCAGCAATAAGACCCAACTCCGAGTGGTGAAAGCAAGTGGGAATTTATTAGTAATACTTGCAATATACACTTGTGTACACTTCACATTTGTACTCGCTGCGGCTCACAGTCTCATTTCCCTTGAAATTGCTCAGCTGACTGAATTTAGATTAGCGCAACTGATTATTGTTTGATAACAGACTATTGATTGCTGCAGTTGATGGTCGATAAATGTCCTTTATTATCAATTATAAAAATATTTGAAGCTGTAGTTAATACTTGT